GGGAAGAGGGGAAGGCCACCAGGTGCCCACACGGTCCCTCTGCCACAGCCACCAGGTGCAGGTGAAAGAGGAGCCTGCTGAGGCCGAGGAGGACAGGAGGCCCGGACCCCCGCTGGGACCCCCCAACCCCAGCGCCGCAGGGCCTGCCGAAGACAGGGACCTGGAGGAGGAGCTGCCTGGAGAGGAGCTCTCCTAAGGGCCTCGGGGGCAGGCAGGACGGGTGAGACCCCTCCTGGAACCCAGGTCCCTCTTACCCCACTCCACAGCCCCGCCCAGACCTCCAGGCACTTCCAGGACTCAGATGGGGGCTGGGCCAGCAACTCCCAATGTGGCCTGACTGACAGAGGGCAGGGACGTCCCGCCCCCCCAAGGGGAAACAGACCCCTGATCTGGGACCGCAGAGGACACGGAGGGCCCAGGCCCCTCCTCACACCCTCCCCGCCACCAGCAGCAGCAGCAGCGCCCTCCTCCCCCACCAGCTCTCCCAACAGGGCCTGCAGCGCCACGGAGACCCGCAGGCGGGGCGAGCCACCCCCAGACCCAGGGCCCCTCACACCTGGCTCTGGCGGCGTTCTTCTAGCCAGAGGCCCGCACTTCCCTCATCTGTGCTCCCCCCACCTTCTCCATACTGTGAAGAAAAACTTCTCCACCCTGATGCCCACCCGCCCTGGCCGGGCGGAGGAACTGAAGTTGCCAACCACCCCCCCCAAAGAAACCAGCCCCTCGCACGCCCACCCAGAGCCACAGCTGGGCCCCTGGGAGCAGGGCCACTGGCTGTAGCCCCTCCTCCCGACCTGAACTGGGACCCACTGACTGGCCTCTGCCCGTTGCTGGCTGCCCGCCCGCCATCCAGGGAGCACAGGAAGAGGCCCTGTGCCCCTGCCGCCCCGGAGAGTCCCTGCCAGGCGGACTTCTGGACGCGGGGCCCAGGAAGGGAGCCCAGCCATCCCGGAGGCTGGCTTCGGGGCTGACGTGGTGCCGGCCGCCTGTCACGGACTGACTGGTGGGGTTAGTTCAGTGGCTGCTGGGACCCAGCAGGTCACCCCGCCCCAGCCTCCAGGGCCCCATTGCAGCCCTCCCTCGCCCGCCCTCAGCACCCCTCCCCTTCCCCCCAGTTAAACGGATGACCAAAGACCTTTCTTATGCCAGAAGCAAAAACCAAAACTTTTTGTTGGCTTTTTCCTTTGTCGCCTCCTCCACCCCCTGCTCCTCCGCTCCCCACCCAGCCCCAGGCTGGGAGCCTCCCTCCACTTAAGTTATTGTTTTAAACCAAAGTTTACAGTGTCTGTTGGTGGCCAAGACCCTCTCCCTCCACCCCTTCCCCACCCACCCTGAGGACCCTGGGGCTGGGCAGGGGCTGGGGCCCTGCTCCCCTCCCCTCTGCTCGTGCCTGGCCTGGGAGAAGGAGAGGGCAGGGGGGGAGGAGGGCCAAGGCGGCCCCGCATCCCCTCGGGCACTGGGCACCAGGACTGCTTCCTGGGGGCTCTCCAGACCCCTCTTTAGGACCAAGTCCCGTCCCACTGGGAGTGTGGATTCCAGCCGAGGAGCTGGAAAACGTGACACTCCCCACAGACCCCCTATGGGGGCCCCCACGGAGGCTGCGGACTGGGTGTGCTGGACGCTCGCCACACCCAGGCCAGGCCCCTTTGCTGAGAAGACTCCTTGGACTATTCCCCAAGAAACCCCCACATGCACCCCTTCACAGCACCCCTCCCGACAGGCAGGGGCCCGCCGCCCCCGCCCCGTGTACTCCCCACCTGTGTTTCGTTTGACCAGCACAGAAATATTAAACGTCCTCTATACACCGGGCCCTTGTGTGTCGCCAGGTGAGGGGGGCATTCAAGTGGGGAGTTCCTCTGCTCGGGCGGGGGGCAGAGGGCACCGGCCGGACACCAGGGGAATGCTCCGTCATTCTCTTCTCCCAAAGTCACACTCCCCCAGTGGCTTCCAGGTTTGAAATACAAGCTCCTGCCGGGTGTTTGCGGCCTGGAGTCCGGCCGCAGCACCTTCCCCTGGGCGCCGCCTGTGGAGACATCCACCCGGCGCCCTGGGCCCGTCAGCCATGGCTTCGTGGAGGCTGCCTGGTGTCATGTGTGGGGTGGCACTGAGCTGCGGGTGGGGCGGTTGGACGCGTGCATGCCTGTGTGTGCAGAGTCGGTGCTGGTGGACGGGCGCAGGGTCGGGAAAGGGGTTATTCTGACCGTGAAAAGGGGGCCCTGGGCAGTTGGGGGAGAGAAGGAAAAGAGGCATCAGTCCAAGCTGCTGAAACCAAAGGTGAGTACTGACACCCCAAAGTAGGGTCCCCCGCACCTCTCTCAGGCAGCGCCCAGGAAGGAGCGTGCAGTGGGCCCTGGGGACATGTGGGGGCTCGTGGCGCTGCCCCCCACACCGTTGAAAACCCACGTGTAACTTGACCCCTGAACCTCAGTCATCCCAGGTGCCCGCAGGTAGTGGTTCGGGCGCATCACGGACGTTAACGTCCATGGGTGCTCACGCCCCACGTGTACGGTGACGTAGGACAGCACCCAGTGCGCGCCGTCCGCCCTCTGCGTCCGCGTTTGGCTGGATCCACGGGTGCACAGGAGGGCCACCTGGTGCTGAGACACGAAGGAGTCGAGTTCAAACCCGTGTTCCTCCAGGGTCAGCCGTGCCCGGGGAGGTGGGGAGGGCGGAGGAAGGGTGTGGAGAAAGCAGAACTGGAACCACTCGCCTTCCCACAAATCACCAAACTGCTGGAGCTTTCCAAAAGTCAAAGTTGGGGAGCAGTGGGGCAGGACAGGGGCGGTAGGGCCTGGAGTGTGAGTCGGCGACCTCTGTCCCAGGCCTGTCTTGTCCTCTCCACCAGCTTCCGCTTCAGGCCCTCTCACTCCCCTCTTCGCTGTCTCGCCCCATCCCCTCTGCCTCCACCCGGCCCTGAGCCTCTGGGCACTGCCTGGAGCCCCCTAGAGAGGACATCTCTGACATCCCCACATCCGGGCTAAAAGGAGCTTCCTCCCGGGGCCTCGGAGTCCCTGCCCGCTGCAGCCAGCCCCCCAAACACCAAGGCCGCCCCGCTGTGCCGTGCTCTGCCTCCGTGGAGGCTGCCAGCCCCGCACATACAACTGGCTGCGTGCAGCCTGGACAGCGGCAGTCTCCACAGCGTGATGCAGCCATCACCCCGATTTCACGGCGACTGCCCCTACCCTCCGGGGCCCACCAGCCCCCTGGCAAGCCCCAGAGCATCCAGGCTCCCAGCTCCCTTACTCCACCCTGAAGAAAAAGGCCGCTCCGCAGGCTGGCCGCAGAGACTAAGGGAGGAGGCCACCCTCAGCCTCACTCGGGACAGTTCTCCCTGCAGTCTAACTGCAGTTTCTCCTAATCCAACTAGAGTTTTTGTTTTGATTTTTTTATTCCTCCCCAGTGCCTGGTCGGTGCATTGGGACGTGGGGTGGAGGTCTATGCTGGGCTGTGGCAGAAGAGAGGGTCTTGCAGTATGAGACACAGGAGCCTGCTGTGGGCCACACTCTGAGCGTAGGGGCTTGCAGACAATTTTCTTACTGATCCGACAGGTTCTATGAGGGGCACGGCCCCCATACTACCTTCTAAATAAGAACTTCCCTCCCACCTCCCCCGCTATCCACGCACGCTTTGCTGTCCGGAAGTTCTGCATGCTGTCTAGCCTCCCTCCTCCCTACTGTTATCCGCAGCTATTGGGGTAGTCTGCACCGGCAGGCACACACCAGGGCGCACACAGGCTGTGGCTGGCCGCTTGTCCTGCCGGTAACATTTCTGCCCTGAGGGGGAGCGGGAAGCTATCTTAGGAACGAACTGTCCTCAGGTTGGAAAAGGGGGGCGGGGCGGGGGGAGTACCCCAAGCAGACATTTTGAGGGTGAGAAGGTAGCGCACTGGGCTCTGTATTGGGCAGAAGTCCCCTTTCCCTCGCTTTCAGAAAGCTCTTCCCTCCGAATGGTGCCCACCCTTGCCCAAGGCCTTCTGCCAGCAGCCAGCAGAGGGCGCTCTAGACAAAGCCGACCTAGTGCTCCTCCTTTGGACGAACTTGCCCAACGGGAGGATGGGGTGGGGGCGGAGGTGTGGGAGGAGGGGCTCAACTTCCCTGGAGAACAGCCGTCCTTCGACCCCACGTCCCAGAAAGCAGCCTCTATCCCATGGCAGAAATGGCTCCTCTCTCGGGGCTCCCCAGACCCCTCCACCTTGTGACCTATGAAGCATCCTACACAGACGCTGGAGGAGGGGAGGGAGGAGGGGGTGTCTGCAGGGAAGCGGCTCTGGACCCGCGTGCGTGCGCTGGGCACAGCGAAGGGCTCCTAAGGGCCTGCGATGGCGGTAATTACACTTAACGAGCGTGTATGGTGGACCAGACACTAGTCCAGAGCGTCACGGTCCATCGGATCCTTACAGCTCTGAGTCAGATCCTGTTATTATCCCCGTTTTACAGACGAGGAGGCAGACGGGGATCACAGGGCTCACAGGGGAAGCCTTCAGGGGGAGAAGCTGTGGGTGTCCGGTGGGAGGGAGGAGGGCGGCCCCGTGGCTTAGTCCAGCGTCCTAGGGCACCACTCTGGCCTCCCCCATCTTTCTTTTTGGAGACGCCCAGCGGGGAAACAGGCACAGAGCGACTCCCAGCCAGGAGCCAGGCCCTGCTTCAGGTCCCCGCTGCCTTCTCCTCCAGGCAGACGGAGGTAAGCTGGGGCTTAGAATAGTCACTGGGGGACAGGGAACTGGAGGAAAAACGGCTGAGACACCCTATAAAAATAATCAAACGGGCCTTCTGATGGAAAGGGGAGTCAGGGCAGGGAGACAAAGAGGCCCTTGTGTGAGGGGGCAGTCACAGCGACTGCACGCACACACACACTCACACGCATACACCTGAGCGCCGGCAGACACACGGGCACACACAGGCTGCTACTCAGCTATGTTTACGCCAAGAGGTCCACCAAGGGCAGGGGCCCACACCACACGTAGCCACGGCGACACCCCATCACGCAGGCCCCGGCCCCTCCACACCTGCAGTCTGTCTCCACCTCAGGATCAAAAGTTCAGAAAAACAGCCCCTCCTGAGAAGGTGATGCTGGTGGCAGCCGTGGCTGAAAGGCCCTCTGTCCCAGGCAAGAGGGGCTGGGCAGTGGCGGGGCTGGGGAGGGGGGCTGGCCGGCAGCCTTTGGAAGATGGGCTGGATTCACAGGACAGCATAGCAGTGGCCTGGGCACGAGTCCTCCGGAGCTCCTGGACCAGACTGGAAAGCTCCTCCCGGGAGGGCCCAGGGCCCCTCCTGATCACAGACCTGGAACCACCATAACCAGCTGCTCCCTGGGCTCAGGAGGGGCCGAGTGCAGGGTGGGAGAGAAGGGTGCTGCGGGGAGAATAGTCCCCGAGGCACACTGGGCCTGCGGGGGCCAGTTAGGTGACTACTGGGGTCGTGCAGGTGACAGATGATAAAATCCTACATAGGGAACTTGCTTTGGAGAATTATACCAGAAGCTTTTTTTGGATAACTGAGTAGAAAATGGGACTAGGTGGCTGCATGAGAGAAGAGGGGTCAAGGATCACAGCAACTGGAGAACCCTAAGTGCCTCTTCCTGGGAGAACACATAGTCACAAAAATATTTACAGCCCAGTATATACATTTGCAGCCCAAGAAGCACATTTTCACAATGGCATGTTGTACTGCTGAGAAAATGAACACACAGGAGCTACTGTATCAGCAGGTGAACTTGAGGGGAAAACTAAGGGAAGAAGGATACGCAGAAAGTGTTGATATTTACATAATGCCTGAGAACTCGCATAATGATGCCACATAACTTGTAAGGACACATACACATGTAGCAAACGTTTAAAGGATTTGTAGGAGTGATCAGTGACCACCTCAGGATGGAGCTGCCTCTGGAGGAAGAGGGGATACAATAGGGAAGCGTGAGGGGCTTTGAGTACATCAATATGGTTCATTCTTGAGCTGGGTGGTGGGAATACTAGCTGGGTGGTAGGAACACTAGCTGGGTGGTGGGAACACAGGGGTTTGTTCTATACCCTGTACTTTTTTTGGCTGGAATATTTCATTTAGAAACAAAAGAATGGCCCCACGCTTTGGGTCCTGGGCCACTGGAAGCATTCTGGCCCTCTAGTCCTTTGGGGTCAAGACAGGGCCAAGGAAGAGGCCATATGTTAGACTGGGCTGCAGCGGGGACATCGAGCTGCTCTGTGCAGTGGGGCAGGAGAGCACATCTGGGCCCACATCTGGTCGTGGGCAAGAGGCATGGCCGCGGAGGAAGGCGGAGATGGTCAATGGGCAAGGAGGAAGGAGAACCGGCAGACAGGTGGTCCCGAGGTCGAGGGTGGCGGTCTGCAGTGACGGGTGCAGGTTCATAGAATTCAAGGCCTGGGAGACCCCACCAGCGGCAGCAGGGACTTGACAACGGAGGCCTCTGGCACCCAGGACTGAATGGTTTCTAAGCGAGCGAGAGGGAAGGAGTGAAGAGTTGAGGCGTCAGTGTGTGGAGTGGAAATGGGAGCTTGGTGACCCCTCTTTCAATGAGTTTAGCAGCTAAGGGAGAGAAAGGACCCCAGAAGAGGAGGGGAGGGGGGCATGGCCATGGAATGTTAAGGACAGGTTTTATTATTAATTTTCTCAGCTATGATGATTTTGTGTACTTTTCATATAAATTGGTCAGGGGGCCAGTTGGAGAGGGGAGAGGACAGAGGAGGCTCAAGCTGTAAGCTCCTGGGCATCTGTGTGTGTGTGTGTGTGTGTGTGTGTGTGTGTGTGCATGTCCTGCCTCCTCCATCTGACTAGGCGTTTCTCACATCCTTCTTC